AGAAGGCATAGATTATGTCTTCTATGACTATTGCTCCTCATAGCCTCTAAAACAGTGTCTGGTAGGTAGTAAATGTGGAATAAATGGGATTATGAAAATAGTGAAAATCCATGCTTATCAATGATACTTAGTATATATAACTCTACCTTATAAAAAGACATTCACAGTTTTTTACGATATTTGCAATTTTGCAATATTCTTCCCCACCTCCAAATGATAAAAGTAAATACTACACTTCAACCAACCCTCATATTTAGTGACAGTTGTGACAATTTTTATTTTGAGCAGGACTTATGGAGATGACAATCTGTTTATGTGAGAGTCTTTTTTGAAAAAAGGGTGAAAATAAAGCAGGAAGGGATTGCTTATTGTTTAGAAAAAGTAAAATGGTTTCAAAATGACCAGCCTGAGAGTTGGATTAAAGTAAAAAATAAAATTTCTACATACAGGGTTGAGAAAGCAACTGCTGACCTACATTAAAGAAGTAGAACTTTGTAGTAGTTCTTAGTCAAAAAGTGGCTGGATCATTACTCTGGAGGGCAAAGTGAGGACCAAAAGATGAAGCTTATAGACTGGTGTAGTTTGGGCTTAATTCAAGAAATAATTTTCTAACACAAGAAGTCTTCCAACAGTGAGATTGGCTTCCTGCCTCTGGTGATAATGAGCTCTTTGTTATTACAGGAATTCAAAAAGAGGTTAGATGAACCTCTTGAGTCCTCATACAGGAAATTCCTGCATTGTAAGGGAAACTGTACTGATTGGCCTCTGACATTCTTTAAGTCTTCTGAATCTATAGAACCATAGTTTATAATGTTCTAGTTATTTCATGTCTCTGTGCCTTGTCTTCCAACCTAGTTTGTATTGCATAAGTCAAAAAATATGTATAGTTCATCTCGCCCCTCCTATTGCTACAAATTGATGAAAGAGAATGTTAGATCAAGGTTTCTGAATCACATACTATTGACATTTTGGGCCAGATAACGCTTTGTTGTGGGGACATGTCTTAAATACATTGTGCGGTGTTTAGCAGTCTCCCTGTCTTCTACCCACTAGATGCCAGTAGCAACCCTCTAGTTGTGGCAATGAAAAATGTCTGCAGACATTGCTAAATGTCCCCTGGGGCGGGGGCAAAATCACATCATCAAGAACCACGGATATAGATTGTTCAGTTAAAAGTACTATTATAATACAGAATTTCTCAAACTTGTTATATATTGAGCTTTCTTGAAGGAAGCCATTTCTTGGGTGTCTCTAATGTTGATTCAAATTGCTTTTATCAAATTCCTGATGCTATTTTTAGTACAACACAGGAACAAAAACAAATTTTCAAAATGAAATGTAAACAAAACTATAAAATAAATAAACTAATCTACTATATAGATTATAAATAGTCCATTATTTTATTGCTCAAAATGTTACTAAAGCATAGGTTCTTTTGAGTTTGTATGCCTATAGCACATGGCATGTGAGGCCTCAATTCCCCACTACTTTTCTTTGTTCAAACAGTTGGTTCATCCAAACCTTGGTTCGTCTAGAGCTCCATCTGGCCATCCCTGAGCTGAATACACCCCATGCATATGAAGTTTACCTTTGCCATTTTCTCCTGGCTCTTGACAAATAAATCATACTTACTGCTGTTAATGAGATTATGACACAAATTAAAATGAGGGCAATTAGTTTGAATGGCAGTATAAGATGGTCATAGAGATGATCCAGAGAATGATAGTATTAATTTTTAAAGACATTCATAAGATAAAAATATAAGAATAAATTTAGTATGTGTGATGGACTTAGAAAAAAGTCTGGTACATAGTCAAAACTTAATAAATGCTTATCATTATTATCGTTATGGTCTTAGAATCTACTAACATAAAGCATAGTGGCAATGGGACTGTTTTCTGCTCATCTTGGTAAATGTTGATGCCCAACCCTTTATCAGCTGTTTGACAAGACCTATTCTATTTGCTAGTGACCCAGGTTACCAAAGGCCTCTTCACCTTGTCTGTATAGACTAGTGCTACTCAAAGTGTGGTCCCTGGACCAGCAGTATCAGCATTACTTGGAAAATTGTAGGAAATGCAAATTTGAGGGCCCCACCCAGCCCTACTGAACCAGAATTTCTGGGACAGGGACCCAGGAATCTGTGACTTAACAAGCCCTCACTGCTAAAGTTTGAGAACTACTGGTGTAAATTACATGTAAAAAGGCACCTGAAGGGACTCATCTGGTTAAGCAGCTTGGTTGTGTATTGTGATTGTGAAATTTTCAAGGGTGGCAGTGCTTTCTCCATAGGTCATCAAAAGGAAAATTCAATAGATTAAAAATGTACGTCTAGAAAGACACAAAGTCTAATATAATTCATGTTTCCTGCTTAGAGAGAAATAGAAAAGAACATGCATAGTTTATTCTGAAAATCTGGTTCAAAAGAAAGATCCTATTATAAACACTTTTGAATCTACAATTTTCAGTGCCCATGGCATGCCAATTCTTAAGGCAGACATTCTATGAACATTTTCTCGGGTCTTTACAGCAGCTATGGAAAGTAGGTATTAATGTGTTCATGGTAAGGAATAAGCATATCATTTCAAAAAGAAGCTGAGATTTAGAGGCCAGGGCTAATAGCTTATATGATGTATTAACTACACTTCGCTAGAAAACTTACTAATTCTCATACCTTATCCCCATTTTATAGATGAAGAAAGTGAAGCACAAGAGGTTTATCAACTTTCTCAAGGCTTGCTAGCTAAAAGGGGGTGTAGCTTCAAATCTACTGCTTCTGAATCTAACTCCAGAGTCTCTATTATTAACCACTAAGTGATCATTCTACTCTTTGAGCTCTTCGTTCAAGGCTAATATGGACTAACCCGGTGGCCAACCTAAGAGAATCAAGTGCTCCCCTGAGGTGTTAAGCTATCGATATGGTCCAAGCCAAGGGAATAAAACCCTGCTGTCAGTAACCTGGGCCAGCTCACCTCCTTAAAGGTGAACACTGGGATGCAAACTGGTCCTGCTGAACAGAATCCCTGGCAGGGTAAATAGAGGGAGAGCAGAGTCCCAAGGACAACCCTAAGAAACAACGACTCTAAAGGCAGGCAAGGGAGAAGAAGCCCATGGAGGATACAGAAGTCAGAGGAGGCCACTAGACAAGTGCAGAGTCACAAGACAGGGATACAGAAAACAGGTCAAAGGGTAACCGATCCTCTGGGGAGTTCAGGGAGGAAAAGCTGGCTGTGGACATAGGTACATTTTTAAG